TTTTCAAAGTTCAGGGGCTAAAAAGAAAGGAAATTAGGATAAGGATCAAGGCTGATATTTCTCTCCTCAGCCACGTGTTTTGCTCTTCCTTATCTTCTCCTTCTTCCCGATTCTTCCTCCCGACAGCCCCCCTCCAAGCCCCTTTAGCCACCGACTCATTTCTTTGAGAAAATTGGTGACCAAGCTTGGGATTTTCTCTTCCTTTTCTTGTTCTTGAACCCAGAAACCCCCCCCCCTTTGCTGGAAATCCCGGATCTGCTCTGCTCTTCTCCCCTGTCCACCGGCTGCTATGTGGGTTTGAATTTATGGGCATTTTTCGGGTAAGCCATAGCCAAGAAATCATCTCTTTAACCTTGATTTAGGCTGGGATATGCTAATTTCTGTTTATTTCCCTCAATTTTTTTGGGTAGTCCGTGAGTTTCCCCTGCAGATGCTGCCGGCTTCTTCTCCCTGCCAAGTCCGGTTCTTGCTGGAAAATTTTGGTATGATGGCCACTTCTTTAAGCCCTAAATTAGCCATTTAATTGCTGCTTTGTGTGTGTCTGAATTGTGCCAAAAATGGGGAGGAATTCCGGTAGCATTTAGTAGCATTTTAAATGTGTTTTAAGCTTGATTAAGTAGAATTGAGCTTGAATTAGCTGCTGTGATGTTTTGTGTGAAAATTCCGTGTGTGTGAATTGTGATTTGCCAAAGTTATGCTCTCCCTGTGCTGCCGTGAGAAATGGGAAAATTTTGGTAGATTAAGTTATGTTTTAAGCTTGGTTTAAGTGTAAATTAGCTTGAATTGGGTTGTTGTGATCTTCGAGTGAAATCCCGTGAGATTAGTTAGTGTTTTGGCCAATTTGTGGGAGTGGAGTTACTATTCACGTCAGGGTCACTGTTCACCGGCACTGTTCACCGGTTACTGTTCACACCCCGAGAGTCGACAATTAACGAGGACTTAAATGATTAGTTTGTGATATAAGAACGAATTTGGAGATATTTGATCATGTGGAGATTTATGGAAATAGCTTTGTGATTAGGAATGATCCTAATGATGATTTCAGTGTAAATTTGTGATAGTGGTATTAATTCTTGGAATATTTTGATTAGGTTCTCGATCGTTCTATCAGTTTAGTACGTGAATTGAGTGCTCGGTTTTGCGGAGTGAGGTAAGTAATTTATGGTAATGCCCGTACTGTTTTAAAAGCATGTTTTGATTTGTTTTTGAAGTGGTGGCGGGGGCTAAACCCGTTTTACACAAGTGTGATTGATGTGCAGTGAAATGTTTTATGGTTTTCATTAAATTGAGCATGCCTACTTGGAATTTAAGTGACTGTCCTGATGATTTGAAAGTGATGATCTGAAAGTGATTGTGAATTGTGATTTTCCTGTGAACTTCTGCCTGTTTTGTCTCCGATATGGTCATGTTATTCGTGTGCCCGCTAGTGGGAGGTTTATAAACGCTAGCACATGTCGACATGTTATTGATAGAACCGGTTCGTTTAGTGACCCTGCTAGTGGGGATTATAAACCAGCAAATTCTGTAGCCTGCTAGTGGGAGGTTTATAACACTGGCCGTGACCTATAGAGGAGACGTCTATTTCGTGCCCGTACTGTATCCGTTTTTCGTGATTGCACTTGTTGGCATGCTGTAAGTTTAATTAAGGGCAATCCATATTTTACTTACTGAGTTATCTCACCTCGTTTTTCTCATCCACCATTTCAGGTAGTGTGCCCCGAGACTCGGAAATCAAGGGGAGTGACGTGATAAAAGGCTAGCCACTTGAGATTTGACATAGATTTAGATACATGTACTCCATGCTCTTGTAAGTTAGATTTTAATTGGAAATTTTATGGTATCAAAACTGATTTTGTTCAGTAAGTTTCGAGCCTTGTGCATTTGTGGGACCCGTCTCACGAGTGCACGGCGTCTGCCGTGCCCCGGATTTGGGTTCTGGGGCGTGACACATAGATGGAGTGACAATCTCAGGGATGGGAAGTTGAAATGGGACAAGAACTCAGCCTATGTCCCATGTTGGATCCCAACTCATATATGGCCTCAGCTGTTGACATATTGGGACTCTAATGAATATAAGAGGCTCAATGCAAGGGGAGCAAAGAATAGGAGCTTTGGGGAAAGGGTGACTCACACCACTGGGTCCATTAGCTTTGCCATCCATGAGATGCGGATGGTAATCAAGCTTAATTAATAAAAAATTTAATATATTAGATTTTATTTAACAATAAATTGTGTTAATTTATATTAACCAATTTATTGCATTATCAATTTTGAAATATAGACTGAGTCTAGAGGTGGTGTGCAACCTCCCCATCAGGAGAAATTCAAGGAGACGCACACCTTCAAAAAAAAGGTGGGAAAGGATCAAGAGCCAGTGTGGATCAATGAAAAAGCAAAGTATCGATATGTAAGTATATATAACATATAAATTAGCATAAAATGTATAGTTATAAGTGTGAAAAGAATTTATGTAATTAATCTAAATTATTTAGCAAAGTCTACTTTTTTATAGATTCTTTTCAAACTACTTTTGACAACATTATTACTATTACTATTATTTTTTCAGGATACTTATGTTGCGGAGTCCACAGATAGTCATGGCTCTGATTCTAGTTCATGGCCACGCATGGATAACGAGGCATGGGTTAAGGCTGTTGGAGGTTGCTTATCTAATTTCATGCTAGGGATTGGCTCCCAAGTAAATCCAGAGATGGTTGGTTTTACTTACAAGAAGAGACAACCCCAAGAAAACTTAATAGCAGCACTGATGGCATCTGACTATGAGGAGACACAGGCAAAAGATCATGAGGAGTTAGAAAGACAACGCCAACAAATTGCTTTGATGCAACAGCAGCTGGCCAATATGACAGAAGCTCAGAAAAATATGAGCCAGGCAATCGCACAGTCTGTTGCAGCAACTCTAGCCGCTCATGGCATCTCCCCTCAGGTAGGTCATCATCCAATTGCCCCACCATAGCCTTCACATGGTCCTGGCTCAGGTCTTCACATGGTCCTGGCTCAGGTCTTCACATGAATTCAGCTTTCGCCTATTCCACTGATTCTACACAAACCTCTCCTATAGTCCCTGAATATCAGCAGCAACGGCAATTTTCGCCTCAAGATGATGATGCATACCATCCTACTTTTGATCTAGACTATCAGGGTCCTTAGTTTTTTTATTTTTCTGTTATGCACATTATCTGCATACTTTGCATGGTTGGCTTTATTTCTATTAGTACTTAAAACTGTTAGCTTTAGCTTTTATTACGATATATTTTCTTATTTTGCTTGACCTCTAGTGATCATATTTCAAAAGGTATGAAGTTTTGGACTGCTTTGGAGGTTAATTATTATTAACTAAATATCGTGGGTATTTAAAACAATGGTGTGTGATTGCCATATATACTTTGTGGTTGTAGTTGTGGTTGAAAAGGGATAATTGTTTTTAGCATACTAGACTTGTAGAATATATGTGTCTTTCATTGAAAATGCAGGTAAAAAAAATTGGTTTTAATCATATGTATGGGGAAACTCTGTCAAATTTTTTTTAGAATTTATACCAACTAAAATGACCAAATGGACGAAATCTGGAAAGGAACTTAGGCAAAATGGACGAAATTTGGAGAGGAAGCTGCTGAATTGTTACCGGCCATAGCAGAAACGTACTCCTAGTTGGTAAAATCATTTTCCAACTTGTATCTTGTCAGCAAAGTCACAGTTTCCAACTTGTATCTTGTCAGTAAAGTCGCCAAAAACATACCAACAGGAAGCTGGTCGGTAATTTGGGTGCATATTGCAAAAATTTTGGTTCCCGCTCTTAGTCACTTACCCATGTGATTTTTGTCGGTGAAAGTAATACCGACTAACTACACATGGGTAAGTTGCCATATATGTACCCCCACAATTCTACCCGGCTTATTTCTTCTTGTCTTCCTTCTTATTCTTCTTCTTCTTTTTCTTCTCCTCCAGCTACTGCCTCCTCTTTTTCTTCCATTTAATGCTGCTGGAGTAATTGTTTATATATGTTTATAATTACATTATTGATATAATTTTAGGTTGATATTTTTTCAATCTCCTTTCTTTTAATTTTCTCTTTCATTATTTCTCCCTATTTGATTAAATATTAATTTGTGTTATTTTATTTGCTTTCCAAGAAACATTAGGAGATAATCAATGGGGTAAGTAAATTTTCTTTGTGTAAATTTTGTTTATATAAGCCATTAGAGATATTAGGGTTGAAATTAATTATAGATAAATACTAACTTAATTTATGTTTTTTTATTTTCTTAGGAAATGGTGTTTTGCAAATCTTCATCTATTGAGGTAATCTTTAATTAAATTTTTAAGTTATCTAATTGTATTTTAATTTTGTCATTTTATTTTTTTTTTAAGTTATGTTTTAATCTTTAATTTAAATAAATAAATAAACAATATTTAGATTACATTATAAAATTTTCATATTATATTTATTTTTTATAATATTAAATATTACGAATTACTTAATATCTAATTGTAAATTAATTTAATTAAAAAATAAATATATATATTAATTTTAATATGAGTTGAATTCAAGATATTTTTTTTTTATTTTTTCAGGGTTAATTACCAACGTGATTCTTGTCGGTAACTATGAAAACAAAAATAAAAAATGCACCTAAAAAAATTGGCGCCTAAAATTTTGGAGATGATCTTGAACCTGCAGCGAAGATCTTTGTGTAGTTCAGACGTGGTTTTTATCGGTGATTTACTAACATGGCCCAAATTGCAAAGCATTTTTCTTGCATTGTCAAACGTGATGTTCGTCGGTGATTAGCGTAGGGCTTGAGGCTCCTCTATATGTGCAGACGTTATACTCGTCAGTAATTTACTGACGTGGGAACCAGAGATGTTTTCCAGTGGACTGTTCTGGCTCCCTATTTGCAAGATGTTCTTTGTCGATAATTATGAGTGCGTTTACCGACGTGATTTTCATCTACGTCGGTGATTGAATTACCAAGCCCGACTTCACTGAGAAACCCATTACGACATGATTCAAGTGGGAGTTTTCTTTCACCGACTAGATTCCCTTTTTTTCCGACATGGTTTCTCGTCGGTGATAGAGTGAATTCTTGTAGTGATAGGACAATTGGAGAAAAACTGAAATTGAATAGTAAACAACCTAAGTAGTTCATCTAGTAGAAATAAAAAATCATAAGTTCAAACCATAAAAAATGTAAGTGAGGTAAGTTAAAATATGAGAAAAAATTATTTTTTATTGTGTAATTTAAAATAAATAAAAAATCATAAAGAACAAAAAAAGAAAAAAATGTTAGAGAAATTCTATTAGTTCAATCTTCTTTTCTTAAAAAATTAAGAAAAAAAAAAAGGCAAGAAAGAAAACTCCAATCTCACTAAAAGTAGAATTTTCTTGGCACAAAAATGTGAGGATTAATCCTGATCAGGAAAAAAAAAATGATCCCTTATTGCTTCAGATTTCATCAGGAAGGAGATGAGGGGTTTTTGGGCTGAAATATCTTCCTACTACTCGCGAATCCAACAGCTTAATTGCATCCTCAGACTTGATGCACCTTGGTGTCTTGTATTGGCTTAGAGAGGATCCTCCTGCGATGAAAAATTCCATCAATGCATCAAAGGTTCCCCGATTTCCTACTCTAATCTCTAGAGGTCCAGCAGAATTCTCTTTTCTGACTATTTTGTAGGTAGCATCCAAGGATTCTTCAATTATGTAGCAGCATTGCTCAATCATCTCTGAATTAAGCTCTCCAACATCACTAGTACTTTCTTTCATCATAAGCTCCCAAAATAATACATAGTGACCTGGTATGGAAGAAGTGTTGGCATAGCTAGTAAAGTCGATTAGGAGGAACCCCAGCTGCTCCAGGTGGAGCTGAGCTTGCATCACTGCCTTCGAAAGATTTTTCTCCGTGGTTTTGTCTATATCTATGCTTAGAACAACGCTTTGTCGCCGTACAACTTGTACCTGAGGAGCATTGTTGTGGAAACCTGTTACCTTAACAATGTCTCCAACTCTGTATCTATATATCCCTGGAAGAAAAAAGCACAATCTGTTAATAGAAAAAGGGAAGAATCTCAGAAACTAAGGGGAAAGAAGAACAAAGAAACACCCTAGCCTACCAGTATTAGTGGTGCTAACAATTTCATAAAATTGGCCAATCTTCACATTCGCAAGATCAACAATATTCTCCTTCCCTGTGCAAACTGCCCCATTGCTTGTATCCACAGGTATGAACTCAAAATAGGCCATGTTAGGGAGGATGGTATACGAGATATCAGAAGGTTGGCATAGAGGATTTAAATTGATCCCAAAAAAACATTCAGAAGAACCATACACTAGCGAAACCAAAGGAAGGCCTCCGCTATAAAAGTTGAGTGTTGGGATATACTGTGCCATAGAACCTGTAACAATAGCACCAATGTACTTTGTTCTTGGCCAGAGCTTCTTAATTATCCCTTCCCATGACTTAGCACTGCATACTTGTTCTATCAGATTAGCCAATTCCAGATTAGGTTCACTCATAATCAATTTGACTGAATCTCTACATCCAGAATCAGTAATCCAGTCACTCAAATGACCAGTTCTTATGTTTGAGCACAACTCTTTCCAATGATCTTCCAGGAAATTAATGACAACAAGGAAAGTAGATGCGAAAGCTGCACCAGTAGTGACAACATTATCTCGTTGAATTAGACCACAAAGTAATTGGCAATACATGCTCTGATTGGAGTCTAAACAACGGATAATAACGTCAGGGCTAGTGTAAATTTTATTCTGGGGATACTTCTGTTGAATTATCTTGATTAAGCTTGACATGAATGTTGTTGCTGTAAGCCCTGAAGGGGTTTCAAAATCTGGTTTCATGAAGTAAAAGTTCATCCATTTTCCTTGTGTCAATCCTTCTACATGCCTGAAATTTGATCATAAACCTCAATTATTAAATAATTCCCCAAATTTCTGAAAAAAAAAAAGAATGGGAATTTGGAAATTTGGGCTCCTCATTCGTACTTAATCATCACTAAATTCACCAGTTGGCTACAGACAAACTTCATGTCCATATACTTAGCTGTAGAAGGCATTAACTTCCTCTTCCCTCCAGAGGTCCCAGAGCTGCAAAAAAAGGCAAAATTTTAATTCAATCAGTTGTAAGAATTTAAGAAAATCAAATTGTGAAGAACCAATAATTTTGATGCCTTAGAAGAAACTCGGAAATGGGTTCGTCTAGGAGAATATTTGACGGCTCTCCATTCGCAATTCGGTCTGTGAAAGGGGAGATATCTTCATATTCCACCACTGGAACTTTCTGCTTAAAGAGTTCCTTATCTGAATCGCCGTTGAGAAAGCAGCGGAGATACTCCGTATTCGCGTTTCGTTTGAGAATTTCGTCCAACACCTGGTGCTGTACTTGAGCAGCATTCGTTGTTATGTCCTCCAGGATCTTCAATCCGGCTTGAGAGTCGAGCGTCGACGCGATTGAAGAAAAGGCTTTGATCGAAGATCCGGCTTGAAAATCGGGTGTGGACGCCATTGGAGAAAAGGCTTGATCTTCGGCCTGCGTTTAAGAACAGTCTTCTCTTTGGGTCTTCAATGTAGAACTGTCTTTGATCGGAAAAGAAACAACAAGAATTAGAGTATTGAAAATGGGGCTCCAAATTGATTATAAAGGGGGTTCTCTTTCGATTGGAATGCCAAAGCTTAATTGCAGGGATGATGAGTTTCATGGGTGTGGAGGAAAGCAGAGAAGTAATATCATCCAGAGGTTTTTTCTCGAACGGTAGTGATGTGTTTTCTGCCTGTACGAAAATGGCGAGGACTGAGTCAGAGCATGTTTCGGAGAGTCACTGTCTCTTCCTTCAAAAATTCACGACCGAGTCGGAGTAAGCCATTAATGATCACATTGTGGAAGAACATGGTCATGACATAGGAATCCTTGGCAACTTTCTTCGGGAACAAGATGGCCATGAGTCCATGACATCAACGAACAAGATGGCCTTGGTTAGTCAGAAATACCATTTATATTACTTTTATTTTTATTTTTAGGGACAAAAGGTGAGGGTGAGCTTCAAAAATATTCCAAACAAAGAAAATGAAGTAATTGTGGCATTATAATAAATTTATAAGATAATGTGTTCTTATACAATTAATTATTTTTAAAAATATATTGTGATATTAATAAACTCATGATAATATATAACACTCATTTAATAGTGTGTTAAAATAAGAAAATGGGTGGATAAAAATACAAAATTTATCTTTTTTTTTTTCAATTTAAAAATGTAAACTCTATTTTTCACTTTTATATTTAAAAATACTAGTTTTTTATTTTTTTTTTTTCAATTTAAGGGTTAATGGAATAGTTAATATAACTACTTATGGCATCAATATCATCATCTAATAAATTCTTAAATAAGAAAAAACACAAAATTAATATTCTTAAATTAAAAAATTAAAAATTTATTATCTTGTTTAAAAATCAACAAAATTCATATCTTTATCTATATTTTTTTCTCTGCATCATAATTGCATGTTTACAATTTTCTATAGATTGTAACTATAACATTGTCAAAGTATTTATTTTGTGAAATTTTCTAACTTGTGTCTTAAAAGGTGAAGAACATATTTATTATACATTTTTATAATTAATTTGTATAAAAGAAAAGTTAATTTAAATTTTATCAAACGTTTGATAAAATTACTCTACATGACATTGATATTGAAAAAAAAAAAATTATTTTTGTAATTTTTTATATAAATTAATGATAAAAATATATAATCAATATACACTTATGCTTTTATTATATGTTTTGGTTGAGAGAGATCAAGAGAGGGGACAAAAAGGTTGATCAATCAAATTACAACGGTTTTTTTTTTTCCCTTCCCTCCTCTACTCTCCATTCTCTTCAATACAAGCATACTATTGAAGTATAAATTTAAAAAAAAAAATCATTTTTATATGAAAATACTATAGTTATAATGT